AATGGGATAATGGTGTCAAATGACTTTTTCCATTTTGGGGGGGAGGGACTTTGTGCATGCTAGACAATATATAAATACATTTATATTTAAACTTTGAGACAGAGTCTCACTAAATCACTAAGTTGCCCAGGCTGGGCTTGGACTTGCAGTCCTCCTGGTTCAGCCTCCCACAGTGCTGGGATTACAGGTATGTGCCACCATGTTAGGCTTCAAAACACTTTTTAAACTCTTTTCCTTTCAAGATCCCTTATTAAATTCAATATTTGACTAATTACAGAATTCTTTTAGAATTATAGAATTTTAGCACAAAAACTTGTCCTTCACATCTGTTTTTGTGCTTGGAAAAATATTTTCTAAATAAAAGCCTTATTTCAACAGAAACTTTATTAGGAAGAGCAATAAGTAAGATAAAAAAAATAGTAACAGGATTTAGCTCCTCTCATTGAAGTAACAGTGGATATGCTCAATTCACTGTCACTGCTGTTCTTTGCCTTTGCAGAATTGCCTGGGTCTCCTACTTAGAACCTTAGGTTCCCACAGAAACACAGATTGAAAATCATTATGTAATCTACACCCTCTTGCACAGATGGGCTTGAGTCCCAGAGAAGGAAATAGATTTGTTTAGTGCCATCCACCTAGAGGGAGAACTGGGATTAGACAGCGCACAACTCACACACAATATGGCAATGTATTGTTCTTACGTAATGGTAATTTTGATCGAGACACAGGAAAGAACAGTTTATTGGACATAAAGTATCTGAATTAGGGTAAAGATACTTTAGATTGGTTTGATTTAGGTATTTTGGTATGAGGGATATAAGTCTACAGATAATTTGACTACAAAACCTGTGCCCTTTGTGTTTTAAAAGAACATACCATAGTGTCCTTCACATAACAATGTTAAATATATGTTCGGTCTCTCTTGCTCTTAAAGGAAACAGGAAATATTTGGACAACCATCAGCTAGAGAGACAAAGAAAAGGGACAGAGGCAACTGAAACAACTGACCACCAACTAGCACAGATTGAAAGGCAAACATGGAGTTAATATTCTGAGTTACCTTCCCTACTTCCCACCAGTGAGAATCATCCAGTTTGATCTTCAAGTCAATGCACTCCAGCTGGCTGCCTTCCTGCCATAGGACTTCATCCAATCTACACCCACACAAGCCATGTGTCTACTCCCTCCTGCATCTCATTAAAGGCCATATTGATGACCCAAACAGAATGGGAAAATTGTGTTTAGAGAGAAGACAGTATGCCTGGATACACTTGGCTGGGGCAGAGTTTGCCTGTCTGCAGAAGTTCACTCTGATGAAAGAGGGAATACTGCTTCTTATCCTCTCAGTATACAGTCTGTAATAAAGTTGCACTTGTGTTACACTTTATACTATCCAAAGAATTTTTGCAGATGTTATCACATATGATCCTCACAAGAAAATTGTTAGTGAGGCAGAGCTACTTCATTAAGTAATGCATCCTACTATGTGCCAGGCCTTGTGCTAGGCCTTGGCTGAAGCATCTGAATAAAGTTACAGCTACTCATCTTCCCAGCTGGACACAAATGTCATCTTTTCAGAGACGGCTTCCCCCCCACCTCCCGCCCATATCCTGTTTGTATCTTTCATGCGACTTACAATTCAATTATGTATTTATGCATTTGTTCTCTGTTTCCCTACTTGCCCTGCAAATTTTCAGAGGGTTAAGACTTTATCATGTTGCCCCCAGTGTGAAAGATTTCACAGTCTGGTAAAGAAAATCAGACAAGTACACTCAGAAGTATAATAAACTAGTCTTGATGCGTTGGAAGAAAGAAGCCTGTTTAGAATAGGAGCCTAACAAGTAAAGGAACAAATTATATTGATATGTGTTAGAAAAAGCTTCTCTGAGGAGGTTACATCTGAGTGGAATCTTGGAAGATGACATGAGGACAAAGATGGGTAAATATGTGCCCCAGAGGAACAACTGTATAGACGGTAGCATGGAGGCACAAAGCAGCACACCATATTCTAGGAACTGTAGCATTTTGGTAATTTCTGGAGCATGTAAGATTGAGCAGGGTGTGAATTGGCAAGGGATGAGCTTGAAAAAGCAAGAGTGAGATTAGCAAGAGGTCTTTCATGTTGTCTGCCCTATTTGAACTTCATTCTATTCACAGTAATGCAGCTACCATTTACTGACTATTTCCGTTCACAGTAACAGTAGCAACTATTTCACTGACCACTAACTTTGATCTGAGTATTTTACACACCTTTCTTTCCCAGGTGGTTCTTTTTTTTCAGTACTGGGGCTTAAACCTACAGCCTTTATACTGAGCTGTATCCCCACCCATTTTTTATTTTGAAACAGGATCTCACCCAGGCTGAGCTTGAATTGTGATTCTTTTGCCTCAGCTTCCCAGTGTTGGGATTATAGGCACATGCCACCATGCCCAGCTATACATTTTCTTTCAACTTTTTTATTATATATTTCAAATATATGTAATAGCATAATGAACTTCCATATACCTGTTATCAACTTCAACAACTATCACCTCATGCCAGTTGTTCTTAGTTTGTTTTCTGTTGCTAATTAACCTAATATCAGACTTGGTAAGTTATAAAGTAAAGAGGTTTATTTTGACTCATGATTATAGTTCTAGACTGACAGGCCATATCTGAGAGTGGCCTTCTTGCTAGCAGAGTCCTGAGGCAGTGTAGAGCATCACATGGTAGGATACAGGGAGCTCACATGGCACTTAACCAAGCTGGCTTTTACAGCAGAGCTTGAAGATCATCTGTCCAAATTAAACTGGGAAACTCCTGTAAGGACAAAATGCTTTCCAGCTTCAAATAAGTGTCCTTTTTCTGGAGTATTCAAATATGCTACAATTTTGTTTTACTATAGGGTGTTTTATTTTGTTTTTTTCTTTCCTTTTCTTTCTTTTAATGCAGTATGTGTGCTAATTTCTGGAAGTTGTATGCTGCCATCTGCTGGCTCCTGGACTACTCTCAGATAGAGCATGAACATTTGCCAGATCACAAGCAAAAAACTCACATAACTTAAGGCATTATTAGATGCATAAACCAAAAAAGTAACTTACTTCTATGTGCTGTTGTTTTACTCATTATCACTAAAACAGGGTTATCTCAAAATTTTTTAAGTATGGAAAAGTGAGTATGAGAAAATAAAGCTCCTAAATTCTCGTACATAACTGCATTTTTCCAATTTTGTGTTCGTGTGTGTGTGTGTGTGTGTGTGTGTGTTGCAGAGATGGAATTCAGGGCCTCCTGCCCGCTGGACAAGCACTTATCACTGAGCCACATCCTGAGCCCATTGCAATGCTCTTTCATTCAAGATTCATTGAGTTTCCCTCAACAAATGCTTACTGAGAACCTTCTACATACCAGGCATTTTGTTAGGCACTTGGGGTGAAACAGCAAAGGCCTGGGGATGTAGCTAAAAGAATACGAGGGATCAAGTCACAGAGGGGCCAGTCCATACACAGAGCACTCTGTAGTCTCCCCGTTTTTTAATCCTTCAAACATAACAGAGCTGCAGCTTGACGGGTGGGTAGGAGTCACAGTCAGCAGAGGAGGGGAAGAGCCTCTGAGAGAGAAACCATTAAAACAAGGGCGTGGATGTGAAACTAGGGCTATAGCTCAGCGATGCACTGAAGAGCAAGGTTCAACCCTCAGCCCCAAAGGATAAGAAACAGAAAGACTGAGACAGGTGAAGAGAGGCAGACAGGCACTTTAATTTCACTTGATCTTAGGTAGAAATTTTAGTTACCACTAGGAAATAGTAGCGTATAATGTCAGACTTCGGGATACAACACAGTGCTCTGCTAAAACTCAGATTGCTGGGGCCCACACCCAGAATTTCTGATTCAAGAGGTCTGAAGTGAGGCCCAAGAATGTTCAAGTCTAAGGTCACACCTGAAAAACTAATACTATGACTGATGTCAAGTGAGGTAAAAATGGCCTGATTCATTATTCACAAACTGCCAAAGGTAGAGTGCTTCACTCTTGGCATTCTCCAAATCAATGGCTTGTGTTCCTGTACTTCCAGTACTATTCAGGGGAGAGAAGAAGAGAGTTGAGAGATTTAAGGCTGCTACTTAATATAGAGAAGAGAACATTTAGAGCTTGGAACATCTTGCCTAGTTCATTACCACATGCTGTTTCTTTTTTATCAGTTATGACACATCAGCAAGCAAGGCACTGTGAACAGTTTCCATACTATATTGTCAGTGAGAATATAAGAAAACAAACCCTTCCTGGTAGTGAGGATGTCAAATGGTAACACCCTTCTGCACAGCAATTATCAATATGTGTAACATTCTAAACATGTATTATTTGATTTAGAAATTCACTTCTGGAAAATTATCATAGAGAATGAATTAGAGATGTACTATGAAAATATAAGTGCGGTACATGGAGCCTCATCATAAATATAACTTACAAAAACTCAAGCTGTAAGCAGCCTTAACTGTCCAGCAATAAGAAACTGTATACTATGGAGAGCACTGCTGTGGAAATCTTAGTGACAAAAAAAATATGAAAAGGGACAGATATGACTCTTACTCATGTGCGTATTTCTTTCTTTCTTTCTTTCTTTCTTTCTTTCTTTCTTTCTTTCTTTCTTTCTTTTCTTTTCTTTTCTTTTCTTTCTTCCTTCCTTCCTTTTTTTCTTTCTTTCTCTTCTTCTCCTCTTCCCTCTTCTTTTCTCTTTCGCCTTCCTCTCTCTCCTCTTCATTCTCTCCCTCCCTCTCCCTCTCCTTTGCATTTTTCTTGTACAAGTAACTATTAAATGTGAGGACAGAATTTATTAAAATTAGGTTTAAAAATACCAGTCTTACATGGAAGTACCAGATAATCGCAAACTCGCCATTTCCAGTGACCCTAACAGGCTTAGCTGGACACAGGAACTGAGCTCTAAATTACACTTTGATAATTTGTCTGTAGCAGGATCTCTATTACTTTGAGCCCCAGATATCAATGGACCACAAAAGAGTCACAGTTATGTTCAAGCTTTATTTGTTTCATGTGTTCACAAAAAAAATGACAGAGTTTTAAATTCTTATAAGTCTATCTCAAAAGTGAAACTACAAATTCCTATAGAATTGTAAAAGCTAGCATACAAGTGTAACATTTTAATAACCAAAGAGTAGAATCCACTTACAGACTGACTTGTGGCGCAGAGTATTTGGCCATAAAAGATATTTAGTTACTTTGTTAAACTGATACAATGGAGGTGTCTTAGGAGTCAAGCAAGTTCTAGGGGAATAAAATTAAAGGAACAAATTCTCTGACGTTGAAAAGACATTTAGTTCTTAAACATAGCTGTTTTCCTAACATCTCTCATTTGAAATCACCTCCGTTCTTGACTTCCTTCCTGTTGTTTTATGCAAACAAAAGCTAAACATTTCTTTCGTTTAATTGCTTAATTTTGGTAGATTACATGAAAGCTTACATAGAGAAAAGTACTTTAAAAGGAACAGTAGAAGGGTAAATATTGAAAGAACACATATACACTCTCAAACATAATCTAATAGCAAAGAACATTCTGGTCTTCAGTAGTTGATGAAACCTCTTGGTTTTCTCAGAGCTTCCAGTTTAGAGAATCTCTCATGGAGTGAAAGGTTAGTCTGTTAAGGAGATAAAAAAAAAAAAAAAAAAAAAATTACTTTGAGAGGTTACCGATCTTACAAAATACTCATGAAATCTGGTTATCAAAATGAGATGCAATGGTTGTAAAAGATTCTCAGGGAAAGGCAGAAGCCTCTGCCAGCTATAAAAAACTGTGCAGAGTGTTTTTCTGTGACCCTCAAAGCACAAGTATGCCTGATTGCTGGCACGCCACCGAGGCTGCTTCTTAATTCTTACAGCTACATGGTGGAATCAAAGGCCTTTAATGATCTGGACATTGAGGTTTATGCCTATAATCCCAACTACTCAAGATTATAGGTTCACAAATTTGAGGCCAGCCAGAGCAAATTAGAAAGATCCTGTCTCAAAATAAAATACAGTAAAATTAAAAGGGCAGGGGATGTAGCTCAGGGCTCCCTAGGTTCAATCCTCAGTACTAGAAAAATAACAACCTTTAACGCAGGGAAGAACACATTCTACTATCCACCAGAGGTAGTGGGTAAGGTTCCACGGTGGAATGAGGGATGAGGATCAGACTTATGTCTACGCAGCAGAGAGTAAATGCCTGAACTATCTCTAGAGGTTTGGTGATCTGATTTCTGAAGATAACCCTGGGGCCAAGTGACTTTCAATTGCTGTTGCTAGTCTACAACTGACTAGAATAACTGAGATTGACCAAATGTAATTTACAGTTGAGCCCAGGTTTCTTTTCCATCTTCCAGATATACCATTCTCAATACCTCCCCAAAACCTAAATAAGAAACCAGATGAATACTGCTCTGAGGCACAGGCAGTCTGTATTTATTACTATGTACTGCCTATTTTCAACTTGTGGGTTTTATACTTTTATGCACAGCACAATTAATCAGAGCATAGATGGAAGAGTATACACTGATTAATTCAACCTGTCACTAATTGAAGATTAGCAGAAAATTATTTCCCTACTGTGCAAATCTTTAAAAATATATTAGCATACTTTCTTCCCTTAGTACATACTCTGATAAACAGCTGCCTCCTTGACAACTGAGAATCACATTGAGCCTTAAGGCACCCACACATGTAAATGTGTAGCAGCTTGGGTTAAAATCATGTTCAACTTGAAGTTCATTTTAAAGAGGAAATAATCAGGGTGGTGGTGCAGGCCTGGAATCCCAGCATTCTGGGAGGCTGAGACAGGAGGATCTTAAATTCAAGCTCAGCCTGGGCAATTTAGTAAATTAGACTCAGTCTCAAAATAAAAAAAAAAAAAAAGAGAGCTGGGGATTTAACTCAGTGTGAAAGCCCTGGGTTAAATCCCCAGTTTTGCAAAAATAAAATAAAATAAAATAAATAATCAAGGTTAGCTTATTTGTTGACCTTTGTGTCTTTCCCAAAGGTAGAACACAAGGGAGAGATGTCTTGTGTATTGAGGATTTTGGGAAGATTCTGGTTAACTACATTTTTTCTATGCATAAAGATACCCTTATATATACCAAGTAGGCCTAAAACTGACACAGATTCTTGAATATTTAGTAAACAAGGCTATTGCACAATTCTGTTCCATTTACCTGATTTCCTAGTGCTTTAAAGTTGTATTTCAGGAATACTCCTCTGGGCTGGTGCGGAGAACCCTCCCCAGTATGTCTGGTCCTCAGAAAGAAGGAATCATCTCCACGATTCATATATCTGTCAATTAAGAATGATATTTAATACAGTGTATACGGTAGCCACTAATTAGATGACAACTTTTGGGCCACTCAAACTAACCTTTCTAGGTCTCATTTGTACCAACTGTAAAATGAAAAAGGTACATTCAGGAGTCTTCAATATTCCTTTCAGTAGTAAACTTTCAGGTTTGGAAGGATTCGAGAAGCACATGCACATAAAATCTGGGTTGCTTGTTTATTTGTTGCTGGGAATTGAACTCAGGGCCGCCTTTGTGCTAAGCACATGTTCTGCCATCTCCAGGTCCTAGTTTTTTATATCATTTATTCAAAAGTCCTACAGGTGTCTTTCCACTCTTTAAATGCCAAGGCAGCTACTCTTGCTTAAGTATAGCTATGCTTATAAGCACTTTGGAACGAAAGTATTCAGAGCTTCCATACCTAGAGAAAATTTATTTTTGATTGCTTTGGGCTAGGGTTAAGGGACTGGATAGAATGGGAAGCCATTATTAATGAGCATAAACTTTGTTTTGGGGGTGATGAAAATGTTCTAAAATTACATTATGGTTATAGTTGCAAAACTCTGTTAATATGCCAAAAGCCTTTGATGCCCTGTAACTCAGTAGCAGACTCCCTGCCTGGCATGAACGAGGCCTTAGGTTTCAACACTGCAAAAATAAAAAGCAAAAGCCACTGAATTGTGAACTTGGCGAACATTATGGTATAAAAGATAGATCTGGCTGGAAGTATAACTCAGTGGTAGAATGCTTGCCTAACATGCAGAAGGCCCTGGGTTCAATCTCCAGAATCACACAAAAATTTTCTTAAAAATCCTGTTAATTATATCTTGATAAAATTGCTACCAAAAGGTAGTGGAAGGGCTGGGGCTGGAGTTCAGTGGTAGACCTCGTATATGGGAGGCCTGGGTTGCTCTTCAGGGTCGTAAGTTAAAGCAAACATTTTAAAAAACAGCTGTAGCACATATGTTCTTAGGACCATAATTTTCATTCTGTCACATTAAGAAGGTATGTTCTCTCCAGGGCTCCCTGAGTGGTTGCTAGTGGGTCTGGCTCTTGCTTTGTCTTATAACAGCTCTTCATGTAAATAAACAGTACAGAATATTTTAAAAATTTTTCAATAGTTGACTAGTTGAAGGGAATGTCTGTCACATATAGTCACACCGTCAGAGGCACAGTACAACACAAGTGCAAAACTGTGTAGTTATCTTCATACTCTCAGTTCAGTTGCTGTGGTTAGTGGTTTTAAATAAGTATTTTTACAATTTATTCTTGTTCTGGTTATAAATATTGTTCCTACTAGGAAAAAAAAGAGATTGTGTTCTGAGTAGTTAACTCAGTGTTAGTTTCTTTTTGTTCTTCTGGTTCTGAGGATGGAACCCAGGCCTTCATGCATGTGAGAGGAGTGTTCTGCAACTGAGTTACACCCTATCCCCAACATGTTAATTTTTAGTTGTAATTTTTCTTTCCTTTTCTTTATTTCCTTTAATAACATATGCCAGGTTTGATCTAATCTAATCATATGACAAAAGCAGAAGCAGAAGCAGAAGTCAGAATGGTTGAGAATGAGAAAGACATGACATGCCCTTGCTGGTCTGAAGATGGCGGACGGCACAGGAGTGGGAATTCAGGTTGCCTCCAGAAAAAGAGTGACTTCTGAATGACAGGCAGCAAGGAAATGGATTCTAATACTAGAATGAGCTTGGAAGCAAATTCTTCCCCAGCCTCTGGATAAAAGAGCAGCCTGGCCACCTCCTCTATTTCTTCTCTTTGAGACTCTACTGCCATAAATTGTTTAAAGTAACAGCAGACCCTAGGAGGGCACGTTTAGGGACAAAGTACACATACAGGGTGGGGCAGAGATGCTGACCTCTTAAATGACTGTTATGCCTTCAGCCTTTTGTGGTTGTACCTTCAGCTAAGACTCTTTGGAGAAACAAGGAACCAGCAAAAACTACCAGGTCACTCTGACTCATTTTTTTAAGGTGACCTACAGTAAACCATGCTCCTTATAATACTAAATTCCCCATCTACAGGCATGAGTTAGTATCTGTCATTTTTTTGAACATGTGATTATATGACCTTGAAGCTCAAGGATGTACCTGTCTCCACAAAGTACGGTGCTCTCAATGTGTATTCCAAGTAGTACATTTCACTCTTTTATCTCCTGGTTGTGGTTATTGGCTTTGCACTTGCTAAGATGTGAATCTACTGTGTTCATTTACAGTAATTTAAGCAAAAAATGAATACACCAGGCGTTTCAGGAATTGAACCTCTTCCCACAGTTGTGGAGAGACAACATGAAAGAGTAGAAAGCCCTCAGGTTTTGTAGAAATACAAACTAAACTCATATTGCTTCTAGCACTTAGTTATTTCACTTTGGCTTTGATGAAGTTAAAACACTTTATTGGGCTGGGGTATAACTCAGTGGTAGAGACCCTGGGTTTGATCCCCAATGCAGCAGGCAAAACAAACAAACCCTCTTGAGTTTTCGATTATCTGTAATATGGAAATATTTATACTGACTGCACAGGATTGCTGGGGCTAAATTAAATTACAAAAGTAAAAGTTCAGGGCTGGGGATTTAGCTCAGCGGCAAAAGCGCCTGCCTGGCAAGCGCAAGGTCGTGAGTTCGGTTCCTGGTACCGGAGAAAAACCAAAAAAAAAAAAAAAAAAAAAAAAAAAAAAAAAAAAAAAACAAAAGTAAAAGTTCAGTGCTTAGTACATACTGTAATAAGCACTCAGTAAATAGTAGCTGTTTTTATTAATTTGCTTCTGCATCCATCGTACTGGCAACACTTTTCACAGGTACTTTTGGTTAGGCCCATTTCAAGGGGATTATAACAGCATTTCTCTTTCCAGATGCTCTTAAAAATGACTGTAGAATACCAGAAGATGCCAATAGAAACACAGCACTTTTTCATAAAGATTGTTCTGAACTAATTATTTTTAGAACCATGAGCTTTGAAAAAAGTAGAAGTTACCCTTTCCAGAGAAATTTGTATCTTTATGGGAAATCATTTGTAAGACTGTCTCCCTTCGTGCTTAGGAAGAGAAGGATGGGCAGTGAATCTTACTCTTGTTTACCTTATCCTTCAGGCCCCTCTCCTGTACAGGCCTTTCCCCACACCCTTGTTTCAGAGAGGATGGTATTTAAGCACACAGTGTAATACAACTCCTGAAGATCTACTCTTGAAGATTTCCTTGAGCATCTCACATATATACAGGAGGTATATAAGTTAATAAATTTGTTTGTATTTCTATCCTCTGTTACAGGGGTTTATGTACACTAAGAACTAAAAAAGGGTAGAGAACTATTTTTTTCACCCCAACATCATCACTGTGCAAAAGCGCACAGTATTGGAGCAAAAACCATTTGGAACAGTAGTATACACAATTATTAAAGAGTGAAGAGTTTTTAATCTTAAGAACAAAAATAAGGAAAAGTCTTGACAGCATTGGATTCTTCAGGGCAACAATTCCCGCATGCTTTAAGCAGAAAGGGTACAACAAGGGTACATCAGGACACTTACTACTTACCACAGGCAAGTGATGCATGGAACTCTCAAAAGTAAAAACAAAACCAAGCCAGTTTTAATTAAGAATTTTTTGATTCCATATTAGGATTTCTTACAAAAGTTGTTAAAGACTATTCAAAGTCAGATTGTAAGACCCCCTGCTGGAGGTTATATTTAATCCCTTTTTTCCCATACTTTCTTCTAAGTATAACCAAACTAGTTGTACAGATGTCTATCTGCAATTACCTTGTATAATTTCTTTCAGCTTCGTAGGAGTTATGTTCATGTTCTGGTGCTACCTAAATGAAAAAAGTTGAGATGCATCATGCAAAGATCATCTTTACTCAGCACAAAGTACTTATTGGCTATATTTAAAATTGACTCTACATTTTCAGTGACAATATTCTCTTTGTTTGATTCTAAGTCTAAGGATCAATTTCTGATTTTTTTGAGCTAAATCACAGATTCAAGAATACAAAGCCAGCAAACAGAGATCAAGAAGTCCAGCCCTCTCTCATAAAGTACAAGGAAACTGCGATTCAGGCAAGTCAAATGATTTCTCCAAGGTCTTATAGCTAATAGTGACTCAGAAGAGAGGTCTGTAGGATCTTGACGTGGCCTGGGTCTAGACACTGATTATATGGATGTAGGGAAAAGATTGTAATTGTAGATAAAATCCACAAAGGGTGGCCTCAAAATCTTAATTTATAATAAAACTGAGATCTTGACCATATTCAAGATAGCTAAGTGAGGAGGAAAACTACTATTTCCAAAATTTAATTTTAGAAAGTGTCACTTCTAGGGCCTGGGATATAGCTCAGTGGCACAGTGCCTGTCTGGTAAGCGCAAGGTCCTGAGTTCGAAAGATAAGCTTAAAAAAAAAAAAAAAAAAAAAAGAATGTCACTTCTACATCAATCAAACATTTCAAGTGAAAATTAGATTGTTTTCAAAAATTAACTTGAATCTCTTAGTCTTGTAATTACTATGTAAGTGACAACATAGGTTACTTCTATATGTGGTCAATGAAATGGACCAAAACATAATTAAAGCACTTGAAGTGTTAATTGGCCCAAATCACTCCATAATTGAACTGGTTGCAGTGCATCCAGTTATATGTAGGTGGTGTTTTGCATAGTACAAATATTTTTATATAAAGTTCTAGCCATAGTTATATAGCTATGCAAGTATATTTGGTATTAAGAACCTACAAATGACAGGCATTGGAAAGGTGAGACAGGAGGATCAAAAGTTTGATAATAGCCTGGGCAACTTAGTAAGACCCTGTCTCAACATAAAAAGTATAAAGATCTGGGGATGTAGGTCAGTGGTAAAGTGCTTGCCTAGTATGCTTGAGTGCCTGGATTCACATAGTATGGTAACAAGGAAGTCTGTCATGCCAAGAGATTTATAATGTTTATAGATCAAATATTCTCTTGTTGGAAAATTCATGTTTAGACTGGACACCATTCATGTTTAGGTTGGACACCATTAGTGTTTTCCAGTAAACATGTTACTGAAGGCAGCTTTAAATTCAGGGTGGACATGTGTCCAATGGCAGTGTCTCCAGAAGTTAAACAGAGCTTGCTGTACCTATATTATACTGGCAGCAAAGTTAGTAAAGTCCTCTCCAAGAACTAAAGAGAAGACTACGGTTAGAATGGAAATGCAATTTATATGGGAACCTGTGGCAATTGTGGCAAACTATCAAGGAGTTGAACTAGAGAGTATAGAAGAAAGAGTAGGAGAAATGAGAATAGGAGCTATAGAAATGAGGAAATATGGACGAAATTAGAATAAGAAACTATTGAGAAAAGGGGATTTAGGCTAATGGCATGTATTTCTTTTAAAATATTACTTATTTGCTTGCAGTGCTAGGGATAGAACCCAGGGCCTTGTGACAGCTAGGCAAGACCTCTACCACTGAATTACACCCCCAGGCCAATGTGATCACTTCTAAAATAAACTGGTTAATGTCATTTCCCTCCTTAAAGTCTTTCAATAGTTCTACATTGCCCTCAGTATGGAATTTGTACTCCAGCATGGCACACAGGAACTATATGATATGGCTCCTAACTCTCCACCACTCTACACTCACCTCTCAACAGTTCTGCCCATACATTTTACACTTTGCAATTATGTTTTAAAGTGGAAGACTCCCTAATTCTGACACAATCTTACTTTGTATTCCAATATGCAAAATAATTAAAAGCAAAGCTTCTTTCATTGGCCTATGAGGTATCAGTTCCTAACCGCTAGGACTCTGCAATGTGGACAAACTCAGCTGACTGCAGCTTACCATAATATGCCAGGCTATCTTTTACTACTGTGCCTTTACAGATAGTGTTTCTTCTGACTTTTCAACCTTTTCTGCTTTGCTTACTCTGTTCAGCCTGTAGGATTCAACTTAAACATTATATTCCCTAGGAAGTTTTTCCTGACCTCTCTAAGTGGCTCAGGATCCTGCTCTTATGCAGCCATGGTACCTTGGACATACTTCTATCCTAGGGTGTTTCTTTTTTCACTCATGCTGAGGATGGAACCCAGGCCTAGGCAAGCACTCTACCACTGAGCCGCATCCTCAGACCCTCTCTGAATTGTTACAGTATGTTTTATTGCTTATTTCTTAATTCTTGGGAACAAACACTTTCTCAAGTATGTATATTTCTGATATATATTAAGAGCTTAGTAAATGTTGAACAAATAAATCAAGTACTACAAAGAAGTGGGAAAAAGAAAGAGGATTAATAAGAGGCCATTGAGTTTTATAGGGAATAAAAATCTTCTGATAACAAAATTAGTAAAATGGTAGGGCTAAAGGCAGAATTAAGAAAGGAATGGGCAAATGGAAATGCTTAACTAGCTTATTAGAGATTTTGCTTCCACTTAAACAGTACTCGTATTTGCCCCCATATTCCCTTAGGAACTTCTCACTGCAAACTGGAATCACTTGAATAATGAATGAACATGGTATAGATGTATATATATATATGTGTGTGTGTCAAAAATATGTTTATTTATTTATGTATTTATTTTGGTATCAGGAATTGAACTCAGGACCTTGCACTTGCTAGGCAAACGCTTGTGCCGCTGAGCTATATCCCTGGCCCAAAAATATGAATCATATAAAATCAATTAAAATATCAGAACTTTTAAAAAGTTCACATCATAACACATCAGTATGAAAACGGAGTGATTATAATAAATAATTTGATATAATCACAGTCATGAAATAAGTTCAACTTATAGAATGGATATTATAATCCAGTCTTTGCCCTAAGATGTTTACACATATTAAAATTAATCATATCAGTCATCTAATTTCCACTTTATAGTTCAGAAAATAGACTCAAAGAGTCTTACCAAAGGTTCCACAGCTACTATGTTTCATCAAATCTAAACCATTGTGATTATACATACACACACTATCATTTTATTTTAAAGATAATAATTTAAAAACCAATAAAAGCAATGCAAAATTTCAAAACAAGATGATAAGAAATTAGCAATGCTTATTATATTGCATATTGTTATCTGCAAAGTAGCTGCTCAGATTACCATATATAGGCATGGAAGATTGATCAAGCAATATAAACACTAACTGTTCCTTTCAATGAACTAATAGAAATTAGTAGGACAATTATCTTCCATATTAAGTACCATTGAAAAAATGTAGAACAATGTCACTTTAACTATGGTATGGCATTGAATGTAAGACATTTTCTGATCTCAGAAAAAATGAAACTTGAAAAAAACCAAGTGTGTGTTAGAATTGATGCACTGCCATATTAAATCGCAGAAGTATGACTCTTTCCAAGTATGGACGAAATGCCCCTGTCATTAACCACTGCACTACAGTGCTTATATCTCTTTGACATTTCATAGCTCTAAACTCTTTGTTTTACAGGTGAAGAAAACTAAAAGAAAGTAAAGTGACTTGCTCAAAGTCATACATACACTTAGCAAGTAAAATAACTAGGAAAGGAAGCCAAATCTCTGAAACTATGATAGGTAGAGAAGTATTGGAAAAAGTACCAATCGTGGATACGAATAAGTACTAGGTATTTGATATAGGAGCCACATCTATTCATTAAAACGTTTGAGTTAAATGTTTATGTCAAACACAGGTGCTATGTACTAAAGATAGAAATTTTCAGAAATAATGGGCTGAATTGGCACAATCAATATACTATTCATATCATTTCTGCTACTGGATATTCATATATCTTCAGTAAATAATCAATAAAACGAAGACAATATCCTAGGGATATAATGGTTGTAAAACATTATTTAAAAATAACACGTTACTAATGTTATTTATATCATCTTTTCTCACTTTTGTCTAACACCCATTTACAACCTAAATAATATAATGGGTTACATAAGGATGAGGGGTAATGAAAAGAAAGAGGGAATGTTTATAAGCAATTGTACTATAAGGCTAGAAACAGTTGGCTACATACGTAGACATCTATGACAAGATATGCAGCTTCCTTATACATTGATGTTGGTAAACAGCTTAAAATTTATTAAAGTAATCAATATAAATAAATGCCAAAACTAATGGAAGAAACAAAATCTGTAAATGGAAAACCTTGTCAAATGAAAAATGATATGGAAAACCACACAGGTTCTGAGCTATAAAGTTGAAAGTGCTGACACTTACCTTTTGATTCACATTCACTGAATAATTTCTTTCCGACATCCTTTTGTAAAAGTAGTCATTTCTTTTATATACTGTAAATTTCCTAGTATTAATCATAAAGGGTAAACATTTTAAAAAATCAATCTTTTACTTTGAAAGAAATTATTTAGAGTATGTCTTAAGCAATATTTTTATTTTATGCTTATAAACTATTTAATATTTTTATGATGAGAATACTAGAAATTAACAGTGATATTCAAATGTACAGTACTGAAATATTAGCTATATTCTTTATTCTCTGTAATTTATCTAAGAAATCAGGTTAAGGGTACATTCAGTGATAAACTATGTGCTTAGCATGGGTAAGCCTTGGATTAAATCTCCAGCAACATACGCACACACACTCACAAATACACATGCACATGTGTGTGCTCTCATATCAGAGACTAGGCTTCTTAGAGACAGAAATATTTAGACTGTAACAGCCATCTTGCTGACACCATTCCTAGAAAACTAAGGTGGGGGATCCCAAGTTCAAGTTCCTCCTGGGCAAATCAGTGACACCCTGTCTCCAAAATAAAAAATAAAAAAGAAGCTGGGGATGGAGCTCAACAGCAGAGTACCTTTGATCCCAGTACCAGAAAGAGAGAGAGAGAGAGAGAGAGAGAGAGAGAGAGAGAGAGACCTTAAATTTAATGGGATTAGTGACATTATAAGAACAGTAAGAGAGGAGGAAGAAAGACGGCAGAGTATAAGCTGGCAGCAAATCACAGTCTCTCCAAGGCCTGCAACTGAGATGTCTGGAAAGCAATGAAGAGAAAGAGAGGAGTTCTAAGAATCAAGAAAGATCTGTCAGGAAAGTTAGAAAAGCACAGAGAAAGTCGAGAAACTAAAGATAATGCAGAGAAAAGAACAAAGCAGTGTAAAACACTAACCCCAGCTCCCAGGGAGGAGGACTTGACAACAAAAACAAAGTACATTCAAAGAGAGTTGTCAGCCCCAATAAATGCCATTAGTCACAAGAAAAGCCCATGGTCACTGTATAAGAGTACAACTATAGTGTGAGGTCTCACTCTGAAAGTGACTCCCTCCTCATAGCAAGCTAAGCATTGGAAAAGAAATCTACAGCAGCACCCACTGTACTTGGGAGTGCTATAGTCAGAAACCATCTTGAGAAAGAGTTTATTGATTAAGACTGAGCTACTTTGGGAATAAGAATTCACAGAACAACCCATATCAGGGTTTCTGGGGTAGACATTCTGCAGTGACTGGGTTGGAAACAGGAATGAGAAGGTCAGGGAGAGGAGAAGGGCTAGTCACAGACCTCCTGAGATTAAACTGTGATAAACTCCAGCTATGGACAACATGGTGAACCTACCCTTTGTGGTGAGAACACAGACAGGTTGCATGTGTTTTCTGAGGGGGTTGGGTCTGATAGTGCTAGGATTAAGTCCAGTGGATTTCTTGGCCCCATCACTACCTGCTTCTAGGACAGAACTCAGTGGTTTGTTTGTTTTGCCTATCTGCCAATGTGATCAAGACTATTCCCTGACTTGAACATCTGCCATATCCTGTGGTATACAAAGTGGCCTCTGCAGCACTCATGAGCCCACAGGCCTCAAAGTTAGTTGAGTATACCAGTGGCTTAGGGCACATAGAATGGAAGGAAAACTGAAGGTCACTGGAGTGAATACAACCCATAATCAGATGACACATCATTGGTGGGCCTCACCCAGTGGGACAGGTGGGATAAGGCTCACCATTCACAAAGCAAAAAGTGGGACAATCTGAAAGGCACCCACCTGACCTCTCTGAAGTGGTAACAACAAAGCAATTGAATGAGGCTCTAGAAAAAAATCAAATCAGAAATAATTTCTCAGATAACTGCAGAGATGGTGTCCACAATGAAAACCATGCTTAGTGACTCTAGAGCAGGTACAAACCAAAAAATAGAGGAGCTTAAGAAAATTATGGAAAGTCATGAATGCTCAGCACAGGAAAGAAATGGAATCCATAAGGCAGATTCAAGCAGATATCCAGCAGAATAACACTTCCACTAAAAGTAACTGCAGCAGAGAAAGCCAATGTGAGGACAAGATATCAGATATGTACTACAGGCATGTGGTTAGTAATCATGAGAATAAAGATTTCTTAAAAATAGCAAGAAATTATGAGAAATCAATACAGGAGCTGCTAGATGAGGCAAAGATGGATAGCATAAGATTGACTAGAGTCAATGAAAAAGCAAGAGAAAGCATAAATGTTACTAAAATAAAACCTGTCCACAGACATCATGGCAGAAAACTTGCCTGGTAGAGAAAAGAATTTGACATACAGTTAAGTGAAGCATACAGAACTCCAATTAGCCACCATAATAAAAAACCTACAGCCAGGCATATCATAGTCAAAATTCCAGAAACTCAACACAAAAATACAATCTCAAAAGCTGTTAGGGAAAAGAAACAAATAACCTATAAAGGAAAACCCATCAGAATCACAGCACAATCCCTCAAGTTAATGAGAGCTTGGAGTGAAGTATTTCAAGTTCTAAAGGAAAACAACCTTTGATGCAGATTGATGTACCCTGCAAAACTATCTTTCAACACTGATGGAGAAATAAGATACTTCCATGACAAAAAACATCTGAGGAAATTTATGACCACCAAATCAGCACTCCAAATGTTTTGAAGGACATTCTAGAAAGAGATAACAAGGACTATAACTACATGCACCACACTGGAAGGAATCCACCAGGCAAGGCAAACAAATAGAGGGAGGGGAGAAAAGAGTGAGCCAACAACAGGAAAAAAACATTGTCTTGGTTACTTTTCTCTCATTGTTGGGACAAAATACCTGACACCCAAAATTAAGGAAGGAAAGGTTTATTTAGTTCATAGTTTGTGGAGGTTTCAGTCCATAATTGGCTGAGTCCAAGGCAGAGTGGTACATGGCAGCAGGCAACAGTTCATGGCAGCAGAAGATAGCAAAAGCAACAAGAACAAAAGGGGAGGAACTGCAGCAAGCAGCCTCTTTCCTTACCTTACATTATATGCAAACGATCTGCCCCAGAGTGGATGTGGCACTCATACCCATAATCCCAACATTAGGCCATGAATCAATTATAAATTCTAGAAGCCTGCCCCATGACTGCATAAGGTTTTGGGGGAACACTCAGCCACAAATCATAACAAACATGACAAGGATAAGTCAATACATATCAGTTATAACCATCAATGTTAATGGTTGCAATTTACCAATCAAAAGACACGGACTGGCTGATCAAGAAGTGAGATCTAACAATATGCTGCATACAAGAAACACACTTAATTCAAAAATAAATTCATAGAATGAAAGTCAAAAGATGGAAAATAATACTCCACGTGACAGGAACCCAGAAGAAAGCAGGGGTAGCTGTTCTATTTGCAGAAACATTGAATTTCAACCCAAGACTGATTAAGAGAGATAAAGAAGGTCACTACATCCTTGTAAAAGGAACAATCCAAGAGGAAGAGATAACAATCATAAATATATGTGTAATAAATAACAGTGTACCCAACTATATAAAACAAATATTAACAGGAATAAAAAATTAAACAAGACTAATACAATTGTATTAGGGATCTCAATACTGTCACAAAAAAGACAGATCAATTAGACAAAAATCAACAATGAAATATTACAACTAAACTAAAATTTTGAACAAATGGATTTAGTAGATGTCTACAGATTATTTCACCCCATAACATGAGAATACACATTCTCCTCTGCTGCACACAGGATGTTCTCCAAAATAGACCCCATCCTATCTCATAGAACATGCTTAAGTAAATGCAAAGGAACTGAAATTATCCCATGCATATTATCAGGTCATAGTGCAATGAAATTTGAAATCAATGGCAAAGGAACCACAAGAACTTCATAAACATGTGGAAATTAAATAGCACCCTCCTGAACAATCAGTGGGTCACAGGTGAAATTAAAGAAGAAGGTCGACATTTTCTACAGTTAAATGACAATGACCATAAAACATACTGGAACTTACATGACACAATGAAAGAAGTCTTAAGAGGGAAATTTGTAGCAGTGAATACCCATATCAGGAAAACTGAGCAAGCACAAATAAACAAGTTAAAGGTGAACCTGCTGCACACAAGTTCAGCATTAATGGTCCAAACTTCTAGAAAAAGAAGAGCAGGCTAAGCCAAAAGCTCCTAAGAAGAAGAAAATTATGAACATCAGAGCAGAAATTAATGCACTGGAGACTAAAAAAATAAAATAAAATCAATCAATGAATTAAAGAGTTGGCTCTTTGAAAGATTAAATAAAATGAATAAACCCATATCCAAACTTATCAAAAAAGAAAAAAAAAACGGACACAAATCCATGCAACTAGCAATGGAAAAGGTGAAATCACAACAGACCCTGAAGAAATCCAGAAGAATATCCTTACCTATTTTGAAAATTTGTATTCTAATAAGATGGAAAATGCAGAAGAAACAGACAGATTCCTAAATACTTATGAATTACCAAAGCTGAATCAAGAAGATATGAAAGTCCTAAATAAACCAGTATGAATCAATGAAATTGAAGATGTAATTAAAATCCTACCAACAAAGAAAAGCACAGGCCCTGACGGATTCCCTGCTGAATTCTACAAGAAACATAGAGAAGACCTAACACCACTACTTCTCAAACTGTTTAATGAAATTGAAAGTGAAGTGATAATCCCAAATTCCATTCCTGGAAGCAAGCATTACCCTGATATCAAAACTGGAGAAGGACTCAACTAAGAAAGAGAATTACAGGTCAATCAAACTAATGAAAGTAGGTGCAAAAATCTTCAATAAAATACTGGCAAACAGAATGCAGCAAATAATTTAAAAGATTATACAACATGACCAAATGGGGTTCATTCCAGGGATGCAGGGATGATTCACACATAAATCAATAAATGAAATATGCCATATTATAGAATCAAAGGCAAAACCATATGATATTCTCAATAGATGCAGAAAAAGCTTTTGACATATTCCAGTGCTCATTCATGATAAAAACCCTACAGAAAATTGGAATAGATGGTCTTTATCTCAATCTGGTAAAAGC